AAATAATTATCTATGTAAGTTATGACTGAACACAAAATACGTTGAAAGAAATATGCCTTCTTTAATGGATTATGGAGCACTATTGTTGCATTCAGAACCGCCCAAACTCACGCTGGCTTGATTCTTAACAAACCCATGGATTTTTAATGACTGCACATGTCCCCTGAGAAACACACAACACCCAGAGAGCTAACCTACAATCGATTAATGACTTTGATAAGCAGCATTTAAACAATGTGTGGGAGTACGATTGATTCTGCAGACGGATCAGCGGGAGGCCATCTGTAATAATTAAAACTGCATAACTGGCTTGTGGCTTTGTGAGAAAAGCCCATCTCCTTTGTGTGGATGCCCGGGTAAATCCATGTTTGGAGGTGAACTTGGCTATTCCATTGCACTATAAATCATGTGGTGCTGGCTGTATCCCTAGGCGCTCCAGTCAGTATCTCTCTCACACACATACAGAATCCCCGTGTACTTTGAAACCTGTGGTATCATGAGCCAACGCCCCCAGCTATCTTATATATGACACGTTCTTAGAAATCAACCACCATGTAATATTTAGGTGCACATAACGGAAACAAGGTGTAGGCGAGGACCACACAGCAAGAAAACAAGTTTGTGGTGTAACAATCTCCTTTGTTTTATTGGGCTAGAATAGAGTTATTATATGTGAATTTTAAAACTGTTAAAAATGCAGACCTCCCACTTGCCATACCTCACAGTAGACAATTTACTTTTCCAAAAGGTAATTTTTAATCAGAATTAACTAATATAAAAGAGGAAAATTAAACTAATATTTAAAAAAAAAGTATTTGAAAGATGGTTTAAGCCATGTTATAATGTTGTTACCTGACCAAACACATACCTGGAGTTGTTTTGTTTCATTCACACATGTTTGAGTAACCCAGGTTTGTTAGTCTGTCTATCTCTCCAAAGCTTAAAATGCTCTGTTCCACCTTGTGATGTCATGAAGCAGTAGTTTTCAAGTTAACAGCTACCATTTACCACTTATTCAGCAGAGATGGACAATTCCATCCAAATGATTCTAGTGAAGGTGAATGGAGTTTAAAAACACAATCAAGCACTTCCTGTATTACCACATGACATCACAAGGTGGAGCCAAGTGTTTTACGAACTCAGTCTAAAAATATTCAGGATTTATGTGTTAAACATGTGTAAATGAGACAAAATAAAACTCCGGGTATGTTTTTGATGACGAAACAATATTATAACAGATCAGAAAATGGCGCAATATGAGCCCTTTAACAACCCATATCGAGGCAAAGCACAGATTACCCAAGAATATAATACGAAAACAATCTTTAAACTGTAATATATAGACAAAATAGTTAAAATGGTTATGTAAAAGTAAAATAAAAGTATATATTTAGGCTAATGTTCAAAGTACTTTTCGATTCTGTGGTTGAGATATTCCAGACAGTATGCAAATAGTTCTCCCAAAAGAAATGAAATGAGACCTAATGATCTTATCTAAGTGTCTCATCAAATCCAGCAAGTTTGAGTTTGCATAAATAAGGGCATCAGGATAAAAAAAAAAACAAAAAAAAAAAAACGAATCAACATGCAAATGACTGCACACAATGAGATGAGCAATTTGCGTTGGTAACCAGAAAAAGTGGATTTTTTTTGTTTTTTTGTGCAACATAGTTACAAAACTAAATCATAAGCTCTTTAGCCTTGGCAAATTAAGAATGACACGGCACAATTAGAGGCTTTCAAGTCCTATAGAGTTATACAGTCTATTATAAACTTTATACCTGATCTGAACTGGGCCATTTATTACAATCTAGTCCCTTTAAATCCTACTCCCTACATCAAAATGATATTAGCATTTTCTACAAGGCGAGCTCTGTCTCTTTCTGCCTGCCACTTTGTTTCTAGGGAGACAGAGTAGTGCTTGGCAGCAGCAGGGGGTTTCCTCAGCAAACAACAACCCTTAGAAATATACCATGTTAAGTAAGTGCCGCCCTTTTTTGCATAGAGATGAAATTGTCACAAAGCGTTGTATTCTTTTGCCTTTGAGTCCAGTCCTATTTTATGTGGTGTCATATATGAGGATGTTCATTCCGGAGCCAAGCGGAGCAGTAAGGACGTACACAGGCACAAGGACACTCAGCCTGCATGACCCACTTTAGATGTTTCTGGAAAAGGGAGAAGGGCTTTTCCAAGGCTGGGAAGGAAACCCCTTTTATCCTCCCTCATTAATATCTACCAGGAGCAAAAAAGACAAGACAAATAAGCACTAAAATACAGGGCATTGTACAGTACAAATAATCAAGCCAGGGAATCAAATTCCAGTGCATACTCAGTGGCAAGAAGTGCATCAGGTAGGGCATCTGATATGAAAAAAAGTGTAATTTTAGATTTATAAACACAATGACATATGTGGACCACAAAAATAAGTCAATAGGCAATAAATATCTCTCAATTCACATTAGCATGACTTATGTGATGCATAGAATAACAGTATACAAATATCTAATCATTTGTTTTTCCATGGTTTTATGGAATTCATAGGTTTCAGAAAGACGGGAAATTATGACTGCTGTCATAGCAATTAACAATTTATATCTTTTGAATGATGAAAAGTCCTCATGATGTCACCTATAAAGAGAAAGCTGAAAGCCATGAATAAAGCATTAAACTAAATTATCACAAATTACCAGAATAAAAAGGCAGAGACATAAAAGCATTTGGCCAATTTGACAATGAAGAAAACCTCTATGCTCTTTTAATTCAGGAAATAAATTTTCTAGATCTTAAGATCTGGGAAAATGCACTCTTTCGACCTCTTTTGTGTTTTATCTTGTAAGGAAACAGAGAGGACACCAAAACAACCATTAACAGAAAAAGCAACATCTTCCTCTAGCACTTATTATATTGAAAATAGAAAAAAAAATCTTATGAGATATGAGACATATACTGACTGATGATTCATTGCTGTGTCCACACCCAAACCAGCAGACAAGATGATGGGCATACGAAGTGGGTCAGGTGGGCTAATCTCACCGTGTGATCTATGTAACATGATATAATGATATGTGCATCTAATCTGGTGAGATAATTGGCAAAAAAGCAATTCTGATTATGACTGCATCTGTTTATGTCTCAGTGCATGGTGGTTATTGGGTTCATTGTAATGGGATTTACAAGTAAAAATCGAATCTAATCCCTACAATCAGACTGATCACTGTCTTTGCATCTGCTATGAAAATGTGTGGCTGATCTGCAAATAAAGACATTCTAAAATATCGCTTGCATGTTCTCTCAAGCAGCGCCACATCTGTGCATTATAATTAACACAGCAGACTGCACTTCATTTTGGAAAAGGACTAATCAAGACCCATGATTGAGTTTCGACTCCTCTGATTCATATCCTCTCGGTGATAACAAGATCATAAACAAAAGTGCGATGATTGGCAGTTAAAGTTGGTTTTTTTTTTGTTTTTTTTCCATCCCGTATCTGACCATCTTTTGACACAAATGAGGCATTCACGTCACCACTTTGCAACTATGGTGCATGACAATAGCTAATCTAGTGTTATTCTCAGAAGATCAATAGGGCCAAAGGGAATTTGGTGATAGACTAGACAGACACCTACACCTTTCATCCAACAGGAGTGGAATATAGTTTTATGTTTAACCAAACATGTCTGAATTAACTGAATATGTTTGAATTATATAGAAGATTATATGTCCATATCATTTAATAAATTTGAGGTAGCCAATGTGCTATTCATTTTACTGTGCTGAAAGATTTGGTCAAGCGGTCAACAAATATATAAGGCAGTCACACAACACAAAAATGTGAGTGATTTTGATGAATAAAACACAGACATTCTATAAATAAGACATCTTTGTTATATTTTGGCCACATCTGCTGTTGGTGCTCGAGACCAAAGGGGTATCCTGTCTTCCTCGGTAAAATGGCCGTCACAGCTCTGATGTCACCACCTTAGGGCTGTTCTCAAGATCAGACAGTCCACACATTTATTTTATACACTCCTCAGCTCAAACTTGACTCTTGCATTTGTTTATATGAAATAGAGTAGTGTATATAGCGTTGAAGACTCACAGACCTTTCTCCATAGAGTGACCTAGATATTGTCTTTAGATTTTAGGATTGGTATTAAAAATAATATCAGATCGTGGCAGATAAACATCAAACACAGCCTGGGTAACAGCCGATTATGACGCCACCAGAATGACCTACGTCCAGATGTGTCCTCTACGGGTCTAGTGATGTGTCCTTGTTTTACACAGACAATCTGTATTATCACTATGGGGCATTTTATGTATTCTTAATCCAAATGTGATCTACAAATAATCCCCGTGGTCTTCTTTTAAGTCAAAATCCATAAAAGCACACACATGAGATTCTAATCAAACTGCTGGTGTATTTTAGTGCAACAGGTTCCATACCTGTAGAATATACATTAACAATGATGCTGTGTTTGACTGTTTGAAACACAAGAGGCCTATTCTTGCACTGACAATACTCTTTAACACTTCTAATCTTTTTGGAGAAAAACTGTGTTTTCTCCAGGGGTATGAGATAAACCATTAAAAAAAAAAAAAATGAAAAGAAAAAAAAAAGAAGTCCTTGACTCCTAGCACATTATAACTGCTTTAATTTAGTAACATATCGCTTTTTGCTTTTAAGGTTTTGTCTAATGGATGGCTTTTGTAAATGTGATTCTGTGTCCCTGCATCTGTAGGTGTGTTTAACATGCCTGAAATGGAAAACCTGTCTAATGCAAGGTGCTGCATGTGAGGCATCAGGAGCTGCCAGCAGCTGGAGAACGGCTGTCACAGACACTTGTTTGCAGGCAGCCACAAAAGACACATGTGCTAACAAGGTCAATCTATGCAACCGGGGTCTCCTCATAAACTCACCCTCAGAAATACTGGAATCAGTTTGGCATTACTACATATCGGTCTCGGATTCTGTATAAATAAGACGAAAGTTGCCAGACCTTGTCTTCGTAGTCTACGTTTCCTGAGGCCGAAGATGCGCACTTTGGAGAAGATGTCGACTAGGTTCCCATTGCAGAGACCCTTGTTCTTGTTGGGACTCTTCCTCCGGCGGTTCGTGGAGGGTCGGTCCAGATGCTGTTCGCGCGCCTGTCTCTTCTGTCGGATGAGCCCGCTCGCAATAGCCGCGGCCATGGCCCCGGTGATGTGACCGTCTGTCCGGCGCACACGGAGCGCACGGAGCGCACGCAGGCGCTACAACAACAAAACAGCCGCCTGTCGGAGCTCACAACCAGGGTCACAGTCCCATTGTGGCGAATACGAAACGTTCCGTATAGGGTGATGTGAGATGTCAAAAAGTGATGCGCTCTGTGCAGCCAACGTGTATGTTTGTCCAACTACATGACATCTCTTGGCGTTTTCCACATTGTGGAGAATATCAAATGCTTCTTATTCCTGTCTCCAGAGTCAGGGCGACGCCAAAACTGATGGAAAATTCTGCAACATTCATGTAACTGTCCAGTGTCCGAAAACGACCAAAAACATCCAAAACCCGGCGTCTCCTCACATGATCCACTCGTGCGTCCTCCTCGCATGCGCCTCTTTAACGCTTCCAGACGAGGCTCGGGATGTGTGAGCAGCAGTCAGTCGGTGTGGAGAGCAGTGCGTGTGTGTGTGTGTGTGAGAGAGCACAGAGCGGGGAGCGAGGGATTCATGCGCCTCCTACGAAGACGAGCCGCCGAGTGAAGGCACACAGCAGCAGCGACAGAGGCAGCTGCAGCCAGAGAGGGGATTGGAAGTTTAAACAGGAAGAAGTGAGCGCGTGAGCATGTTTTGACTAGACATAGAAGGACACGATTAAGTTGATTGGTGTTTAAAACAGGAAATTGTCTATTTTGTAGCCTACTGGTTGACAAGACAATCAATAAGATAAACGAATACGTTACCCAAATCAAACCTGTTGATTGTATAATTTAACAATCCTTCAAATCGTTTTTTTATAATTGTATTATTTTATGTGATTGCCTGAAATAGTGCGTGCGTGTTTGAGTGCTGTTTACAGACACCAGAAGCAGTTGACCACTTAAACTGTGTGTATCAATAAAATGGACCCAGCAGCCTTGTTGGGTGGTTTTATAGGTTGCGGAAGCATAATGCATTTTCCCACGGTCTACGGATAACAAGATGTATTTAGCGTTGCGGGATCTCGTGTATGAATCCCATATTAACAAATCTGGCATCAACAAGTAGCTGCAACCTCACACTACTAATACACGTTCCCTATATAGTAATTCAGCCCGCTTGGTATGTATCCTGTCATATCAACTTCAATCTATGACAAATGTGACCTATTGTTTTCTTACGACAGCTTCTTGTGCGTAAAACTGCAACATGGAGCTTTTCATGTGCAGTCTCTTTTCAGCACCACGGACAGTGCCACAGTAACCTTTACAAACGCTGTAGTGAGAGTCACGTGATCACACCCCACGGAGTGCTTTGAGTCTATGGTAAAATCTACTTGCACTTTGTTACAGAAGTACACAGAAAGGATTGTTGTTTTCTTTTTGTGCCAGACTGGATGCAATCTCAAGCATCCAGCGCCACAGAAATTAAAACTCAAGAGAGCCATCTGCTGTTTATGGATGTAATTAAACATTTGGGAAGACAGACTGAAGATCTTGCAGCACTGGATTGGAGCAGTTTTGATAATGTTAAACCTGAAGACATATATGGCTTATTTTAAACCTGGTTAGTTCACAGTATTTTGTAGATACAGGAATAATAGCTATGCACTGGCATGTAAAAAGACACTGAACAAAGAAAGGGGTTTCAGCGTGCATCACTGTATAGGTTATATTGTGTTTTATTACAGTGGTGTTAATAGGGCACTGGCCAGGCTAGAAAGAGAGAGGGAATAGAGAGAGAGCAGTGAGTATGTCCCAGTGCTCTGCTCCCTGATGGGAAACAGTGCAGTAAGAGCTTCAGCCAGCAGTGGACACTGTCAGCTCAACAATGGCCACTCATCTGTACCATATTATTCTACGCTGAAGTCAGGACTTACTGCAATGAGTTGGAATTCATGAATGTTAGCAATGAATTTTAATAGCTTTAGTGGAGGAGAAGAGGGAATATAAAATGGAGCTAAATAGCAAAATCCTGCAAAAGAGTGTGAGTAAGAATGGAAAAAGTGTGTTATCAGTGAAAAGTATTTAAATGTTCTCTGCAACAGTGCTCTGCAATAACAAATACTATTTGCTTTACTAATAGAATTTAAAGAGTAGGGGCTCTTTCTAACAACAAACCAATTATACATGTCAAAATTGTAAATAGTGAGCGTCAATTAAAGGGCCCATATCACACTATTTTCTGATCTATGTTATAATGTTGTATCCTCATCACAAAAATACCCATGTTTTGTTTCATTCACACATGTTTAACACACACCCTGCATAGTTCTTCTTTAAAACAGAAAACACTGTTCCACTTTATGATGTTATGTGATAATACAGGAAGTGCTTCACTGTGTTTTTAAACTCTGTACACCATCACTAGAATCATTTGGTTTCAGCCCTAGAATTACTAATCTTTACTGAACTAAAGTAGCTTTAAAACTACTGCTCCATGACATCACAAGATGGGACAGAGCATTTTGAGCTTTGGAGATGCAGATAGACTAACAACATTTTAACATGGATTAAACTTCATAAGAGTCAATTTTGCATAATATAGGACCTTTAACTTCTAGGTTTACTGCTTGATGTCACAAAATACTCACAGACCTAAACTGTATTTTGGACCCACTTCAAAATGCATCATGCACATAACAGAAAAGAAACATAAAACATCTGAATTCATTAAATCAATCTCAGTTAGCATTTCTGGCTCCCCATTTAACCTTTTGCACTTCATTAAACTTACTTGCAGCCAATTAAAAAGTTTATAACATGTCTGACACACCATAAAACACTTCCCGAAATTGTGAAGGTCACTGAAGAATGTAATAAATCACAGAACAAACATAGCAATCTGGAGGCCTTAGCACCCAACAGAGCAGTCTAAACAAACATACATAATTGGACAATACATTCAAATCACCCAAACTATGTCAAATCCTGTCCCAAAGCCATCACAGCACATACCTACATTTTTTTTCCTCCTGCATGTGAAGGTATGGGAGTCCATGTCGGTCCCATTCCCGCTCTGTTGTGCCAAGAGCTGTTCCTGTGACTAAATGGCCCATTTATACCGCCCTTTGTGTGATACAACAGGCTTTCTTCAACCTGACAACGTGCCCCAAAGCAATACACTTTCAATTGTTCCAAATCACGTTTTCTTCAAACCGTGTCAACTGGGGAAATGCAGTGGGATTAACACATTCAGACGTTGAGCCTCACCACAAATGAAGATAGTTAAATGTTGCCTCAGGAAGCAATCAGTGAGGAATTTGCCAGTTTCTATTAGACACAAGTAAATACATTAAAGATGCATTATGTAACTTCCATTACCTGTATAACATTATCACTTATCTGCTACATTTCCATGGAGATAAGCAGGTGAGAGGTCAGATCTGTGTAGAGGTAAGCATGTTTATGGTAACAATGCATTGTTTTTAAGGTATTTTTTGAGCAATAAAACCCGCAATTGAATCGAACGTCAAAATAGAAATGTTTAAGGTTAGTGGAACATTCTCCCTATCAGACAAAGTGATATTTTTACTAAAATATTTTGTTGTAGGTTCTGCAAAGCTTTGGGGGCAGGAGTGCTACTTGGATATACAAAACTCGTGCAGAATTGTCCTTTTGGTGCTCTTCAGTGTAGGGACCAGTCTCAAACACAAAGTAGGAAAAAACTGAGGCACTCAAAAAGTACAAAATAATTAAAAGCCTTTAATACCACATGGCAGATAAAGTATGTGTTGTAGGTCGCCTCCACTACAAGATGAATTTGGGATTGTCACATCTTACATTATTTTAGCTTCTCGCTTCTATGCTGTTACAGGATTAGTTTTTTTTTTTGTTTTAGATTGTTATTTCTTCTCACAAGCTATGTTATTCCCCACAAGTAGATGTAATAATTAAAGGTGCACTCTTCCTTCTTGGCTAATTTTGATAAAGTCAAAAGTTATGCAGACTTGTAAACCAGGCACCTCATTAAGTTGGCCGTTTCTAATCTAATCTCCTTCTAGGGAAATTGCATTACGCTTTAGTTGGATGTCTTGCTGCCAAGGCCCAGCAAATGTCACCCAGTGGAACTAGGATAAACAAGCCATTTCATTACTTCCATTAGTTTGCTTCTGGGCTGCTCCACTTTATCCTATCCTGATGGGAAGAAAAAAAAAAAAATCAGGCTTGGGGACTCAGCACTTCTAAATCCCCACTAAAGAAGCTTAACTTGCCCATATCAAATTACAGTGCATTATCAAAGACATGGATAATTGAATTCTACTTGTGATTTTGTATCTTAACCATGATTTATGCTGCTCTTTTAAGTGACTGTTTAGCCGCCTAATCCTTGCATGCACCAGAAGCTTTTCACATGATGTGCGTTTATTTAGATCCAGTGGTTCTGAATCACGTTGAGGAGTTCAATAGTCAGAGAGCTAATGAGGCTGAAGTAAGATAAAAGGATCCAGGTGCAGCAAAGTGGAATAAATGGGGGGAAAGTCAACAAAGCAATGCCCATAGGCCAGGAGTTGCTCTCCACAGACACAACACCATGGCCTGTGAAGAGTTCAAATAAACATACTATTTCTGTCTTTTCTTGTCTCTTTTGGTAGGTATAATGTGGGTAAGTAAAATTCTGCTCACCACCATAAACTGCGGACAAAACTAATCCACTACACGTTGCGTTCTAAACAGGAAGTGAGCACGGGGGTGCTTCTGGCTCCATTAACTCTGGCTCCAATTGATTTATATTGAATTCTTTCTTTCTGTAACTGCTGCTGTGAGCGTCATCATTTTTGGTCTTAAAATGTTGGATCCTGGTGTTTTTTTTTTTTGTCAATAAACTCAAGTCCAAATTCACCTTTATAACAATCAGCATCATGAGTTTCATTTGTCTGGAGCCAAATTCTATGGATGAATTCATACTCCCTTGGTCCACTTTTTTATACAGTCTCTGCTTGCCACAAGTGCAAGATTTCTTTTACACCTTGTTTTCAGCACCTTGGACAGCACCACAGAAACCTTAGCAAA